TTTAGTCTGTCTGACTCTTTGTCTGACTGCCTTTTGTTATGTTTGTTTCTACTCCTGTTTTTCTCTGTAAAGCAACCTTGGGTCTCATGAAAGGCGCTATATAAATCCAAGCTATTATTATTATTATTATTATTACAATGGGTGATCTGTTTGGTATTTTAAGCAAAAAACTTCACAGACATGTTTTGTATAGGTATGGCCCTACAATATATTTTTCAAATATAGCATAATAGGTCCACTTTAAGCAAAATCCAGAGAACAAAGCTTAAACCTGCACCTTCCCCCAGAAGTGTTCCTCACAGGCGCACTTGGAACTGATGAGGTTAAAATGTTAACATAGGTTCAGGAGCATGGCCACGCCTAAAACTCCGCCTCAAACCACAGCCACCCCTATTTATATCCTGCAAAGCTTCCGGCAAACGCTTGTCTCATCTTTCAAAGATCGACAGGCAGACTGTGATTCACGCTGCGCGTCGTCACAGTTCAATACAAGCTAAACGCTACCACAAGAACATTGCTACTCACCATGGATCCCGAAATCCTGATCAACTCGCCGGAGTCAGACGAAGATCTCTTCGACATCGGCTACCCGCCATCCTCAGGTCAGCAGACGGATCTAAGCCAAGCATCCGAACGGAGCCGCGTGCGCTCGGCAATCAGTGTCCCACACACCAGCCGCCACCGCTCCCACTCAAGCTCCCCCAACGAGATCCCTCCAACTCCAGACAGGTCCCAGACTTCGTCTACTCCGCCAGCGAGGGCAAACAGCCGAGGCCGCAACAGGTACAGCCAGCTCCAATCTCCCCACCACCGGCAGCCTGCCTCACTCGCAGCTCCCGGCCACTCGCAGCGGCGCTCTCGACGCTCCACAACAGAGCCCGAACGCACTCAACGCTCCACAACAGAGCCCGAACTACGGAGGTGGACAGTCATTCAACTCCAACGTTTCCTGAAGGACAACGGCATCCACTTTCACCGAAACGACAACAAGGCTAGACTGTTCAACCTCTACCAAGCCTACAGCAGCACAACGGCAAGAACAACAACACACACAGCTCTTCCCGCCCCAGAATCAACCACCGCGCGCGCGCACCACGGGTCGTGACGTCACAGGCCTCCGTCCTCCTCCACCACAGACACAGCTCGACTCACCAGCACCCCCTGGTGGGGGCCAGGCTGTATTGCCCTCTGTGCCCGCTCTCTCTGTGTCTGACATGTCGCAGCTCATTTCAACCTTTCTTTCATCCCTGTGCCCACAGGCTTCACAAAATCCCCCTGCACATACATCCCTTCATCCCTCCATCCCTTCTTCTTCTCTACCTTCAGCAGTCCACAGCTACCCAGCTTCTGCTTACTTTCCTCCTTTAGCAGCTAACCCCGTAGCAACAGCGTCCCACCTAGTAAACCAAGGGGCAGGGGCCATGCCACATGCTAACCTATCAGCCGACTCTTACCTAGTACCTTCCTTTCCAACTGCTCTACCTTTTCCCCCTCCCCCCATCCCTACCCCATCCCCAACACCCAAATGTTTTCACCACATTCAACTGAGAATTCTCAGGACGACTAGAGATCTCCACATAGTCCAGAACAGACTAGAGATCTCCACATAGTCCAGAACAGACCTGAATCCAGTAGACTTCTCAGGATGACTAGAGATCTCCACATAGTCCAGAACAGACTAGAGATCTCCACATAGTCCAGAACAGACCTGAATCCAGTAGACTTCTCAGGATGACTAGAGATCTCCACATAGTCCAGAGCAGACTAGAGATCTCCACATAGTCCAGAACAGACCTGAATCCAGTAGACTTCTCAGGATGACTAGAGATCTCCACATAGTCCAGAACAGACTAGAGATCTCCACATAGTCCAGAACAGACCTGAATCCAGTAGACTTCTCAGGATGACTAGAGATCTCCACATAGTCCAGAACAGACTAGAGATCTCCACATAGTCCAGAACAGACCTGAATCCAGTAGACTTCTCAGGATGACTAGAGATCTCCACATAGTCCAGAGCAGACTAGAGATCTCCACATAGTCCAGAACAGACCTGAATCCAGTAGACTTCTCAGGATGACTAGAGATCTCCACATAGTCCAGAGCAGACTAGAGATCTCCACATAGTCCAGAACAGACCTGAATCCAGTAGACTTCTCAGGATGACTAGAGATCTCCACATAGTCCAGAGCAGACTAGAGATCTCCACATAGTCCAGAACAGACCTGAATCCAGTAGACTTCTCAGGATGACTAGAGATCTCCACATAGTCCAGAACAGACTAGAGATCTCCACATAGTCCAGAACAGACCTGAATCCAGTAGACTTCTCAGGATGACTAGAGATCTCCACATAGTCCAGAGCAGACTAGAGATCTCCACATAGTCCAGAACAGACCTGAATCCAGTAGACTTCTCAGGATGACTAGAGATCTCCACATAGTCCAGAGCAGACTAGAGATCTCCACATACTCCAGAACAGACCTGAATCCAGTAGATTTATCAGGATGACTAGCGATCTCCTCATAGTCCAGAGCAGACTAGAGATCTCCACATAGTCCAGAACAGACCTGAATCCAGTAGACTTCTCAGGATGACTAGAGATCTCCACATAGTCCAGAACAGACTAGAGATCTCCACATAGTCCAGAACAGACCTGAATCCAGTAGACTTCTCAGGATGACTAGAGATCTCCACATAGTCCAGAGCAGACTAGAGATCTCCACATAGTCCAGAACAGACCTGAATCCAGTAGACTTCTCAGGATGACTAGAGATCTCCACATAGTCCAGAGCAGACTAGAGATCTCCACATAGTCCAGAACAGATCTGAATCCAGTAGATTTATCAGGATGACTAGAGATCTCCTCATAGTCCAGAGCAGACTAGAGATCTCCACATAGTCCAGAACAGACCTGAATCCAGTAGACTTCTCAGGATGACTAGAGATCTCCACATAGTCCAGAACAGACTAGAGATCTCCACATAGTCCAGAACAGACCTGAATCCAGTAGACTTCTCAGGATGACTAGAGATCTCCACATAGTCCAGAGCAGACTAGAGATCTCCACATAGTCCAGAACAGACCTGAATCCAGTAGACTTCTCAGGATGACTAGAGATCTCCACATAGTCCAGAGCAGACTAGAGATCTCCACATAGTCCAGAACAGACCTGAATCCAGTAGACTTCTCAGGATGACTAGAGATCTCCACATAGTCCAGAGCAGACTAGAGATCTCCACATAGTCCAGAACAGACCTGAATCCAGTAGACTTCTCAGGATGACTAGAGATCTCCACATAGTCCAGAGCAGACTAGAGATCTCCACATAGTCCAGAACAGACCTGAATCCAGTATACTTCTCAGGATGACTAGAGATCTCCACATAGTCCAGAGCAGACTAGAGATCTCCACATAGTCCAGAACAGACCTGAATCCAGTAGACTTCTCAGGATGACTAGAGATCTCCACATAGTCCAGAGCAGACTAGAGATCTCCACATAGTCCAGAACAGACCTGAATCCAGTAGACTTCTCAGGATGACTAGAGATCTCCTCATAGTCCAGAACAGTTAACAGGCACAGCAAGCCCTCTGACCCTCGCAGCGAGCAGACGCTCCGGTCTCTCTCTCTCCGACCCTCGCAACGAGCAGACGCTCCGGTCTCTCTCTCTCAATGTTTAGCCAGATTTAGAAGTGAAGATGTAGTCACTCGTTCCAGACACGTTATCTTCAAGCCACATGTTTCCGGTCCAGAAACACTTTCAGAACATCCTGCACATTTTGGGGGGCACTCTCAGAATTAGAGCCATTTCTCCCGCATCGGCGCAGCGTCCACAGCAGCTAGACCAGGCATCTCTTATCCAACCGCCTAGGCCCTCGGCCGCTCGTCATCCCAAGCGTACCACGCTTACATCCGCAACATCTAAACGACGTCTGACATGCACATGCTTAAGTCAGCTGCTTTTAATCCGACTCTTTTGGGGGACCGTAATCAGCCCACGCAGTTCATGCCGGAGACGGAACCCCCACTCTGAGTCTCCCACAGCACGGACCATAGCTCGTCCTCCCAGATCACCTCTTCACCCCCCCTCATATCCTTCACATGTTACTTCAATAAACGCACAAACATCACACTGTTGTGGCGTGGTTCTTGCTAGTGAAATGAGGTTAAAATGTTAACATAGGTTCAGGAGCATGGCCACGCCTAAAACTCCGCCTCAAACCACAGCCACCCCTATTTATATCCGGCAAAGCTTCCGGCAAACGCTTGTCTCATCTTTCAACCCACCCTCCCTCACCCTTCTACCCATAAACATCCTCTGCCCATCACCATTTATATCTAAACGGTGCATATCTATACTGCGTATACTAACATTAAACTCCAGGTATTGTCTGGGGGACCGTAATCAGCCCACGCAGTTCATGCCGGAGACGGAACCCCCACTCTGAGTCTCCCACAGCACGGACCATAGCTCGTCCTCCCAGATCACCTCTTCACCCCCCTCATATCCTTCACATGTTACTTCAATAAACGCACAAACATCACACTGTTGTGGCGTGGTTCTTGCTAGTGAAATGAGGTTAAAATGTTAACATAGGTTCAGGAGCATGGCCACGCCTAAAACTCCGCCTCAAACCACAGCCACCCCTATTTATATCCGGCAAAGCTTCCGGCAAACGCTTGTCTCATCTTTCAACCCACCCTCCCTCACCCTTCTACCCATAAACATCCTCTGCCCATCACCATTTATATCTAAACGGTGCATATCTATACTGCGTATACTAACATTAAACTCCAGGTATTGTCTGGGGGACCGTAATCAGCCCACGCAGTTCATGCCGGAGACGGAACCCCACTCTGAGTCTCCCACAGCACGGACCATAGCTCGTCCTCCCAGATCACCTCTTCACCCCCCTCATATCCTTCACATGTTACTTCAATAAACGCACAAACATCACACTGTTGTGGCGTGGTTCTTGCTAGTGAAATCCGTCTCGTACCTGCTTCAGGGAAACGATGCCCTCCCTGCGCTCAGCGTCAGTGGTGATGGTGAAGATGGCCGCTGCATCGGCATTAGTTATTCTGTAGGTCATCTCAGCGTTCTGCCCCTCATCTTGATCGCTGGCTCTGATCCGACCCACTGCCTTCCCTACCGGAGCCAGCTCTGGAACATACAGCTGGTAGCTTCCTGCAACAGCAACACCATGTTTATATTCTGCTCATTAAACCCCTGTAAGCACATGAGCACATCATGGAAACCTGATCAAGATGCTCCATGTTCTCTCCTTGGTTTTCTATGTGGAAATGTTGTGTGTGCTCACCATGTCTATGTATTACATTTTCTTTGGAAATGGGATACACATATCAGTTGTGTGATGGTGTATGACTGGGTTTCTTTTTCCTTTTGTCAGAGCACCGACATTTTGTTTGGCTACTATTTCTATATAATGGGAAAACATCACATCCCTTGACATGTTCACTACTTCATTAGCATAATACTGTGTTCATGCTGGCCTAAATTGTAAAACATGATATGTGTGTATTTATAGTCACAAAAAGAGCTGTCACATGGGAAGTGTGCCATTTAAAAAAAGTGGCTAAACATTAAACCTTATCAAAAGCTGTTTCAAACTCCAACAGCAGGACTCAACATAATGTCTTTCAGCAGAAGATGAAATCGAAGAACAATTAACAGAAAGAAATGACTCTTGAGGATTAGAAGCCTTTAAGTATGGAAACAGCTAGCCAAGGGAAAATATTAAAGCGAAGATATTAGTGTAGCCAGCTGTCGAGATAAGTTAAACCAGAAAAGAGATTATCCTAACCAGAAAATAACTTGTCAGAGCTTCATTCTGAAATAATACATTTACAATCTCAATACATTTATTAAATATAAGGCACATTTTCCTGGATTAATGATGACTACTCTCAGTCTGACAATGTTTCTGTTTCATGATGAAATCTGAAAGTATGTGATAGGGATCACTTACTCTGCAGGAACTTTGGAGGGTTGTCATTGACGTCCGTGAGGTTGACGTTGACTGTAGTAGATCCAGACAGTCCTCCAACCGAGCCCGCCATGTCTTTGGCCTGGACCACCACCGCATACTGAACACTGGACTCACGGTCCATGTTGGAGATGGCTGTTCGGATGATTCCTGAGGCAGAGACAAGACAAATAAATCAGTGTTTAAGCACAGTTGAATACTTGATTCTGATTGGTCAATTTGAACATTCCAGAAGTATACAATAGACTGCTGTTAAGGAAAGTAGATCGTTGCCTATCATGGGACTAAAGTATAGTCATATCAATCCGCAGAAAGAAGTCCGGTCAATATAATATCCGCTGTGGACAACAAACATTCTTATTTTACATCAGAAAAAAACATGGAATACCCTTTTCATTTTATATTTGTGAAGAGCACAGCACTTTGGATTAATGATGGCTAAACTGTTACCAGCAAAGAAAATAAATACGGACAAAGAGAAGGAAAGAGGTTAAAAGACTCAACGTAGGAGAAATCAACAAAGAGAAGACCGACAGGAAGTGAACACTAAAGGGAACAGTAAAAGAAGAAAGACAGGAAGTAAGGCAAGGCAAGGCGAGTTTATTTATATAGCACCTTTCAACACAAGGCAATTCAAAGTGCTTTACAAAAATGAAAGACATTAAGAAAATGGCATTTAAAAACAGTCATTAAAAAGCAAAGATAATAAAATAAACATTAAAAGAAAAAATACATGGTAGTAGTAAACACTAACAGGAACAGCAGAAGAGGACAGACGGGAAGTAAACACTAAAGGGAACAGCAGAAGAAGACAGACAGGAAGTAAACACTAAAGGGAACAGCAGAAGAAGACAGACAGGAAGTGAACACTAAAGGGAACAGCAGAAGAAGACAGACAGGAAGTGAACACTAAAGGGAACAGCAGAAGAAGACAGACAGGAAGTAACCCTAAGGGGAACACGGCATGGGCTCTGTCATTGAGTTACTTTACTTCAGGACACACACACACACACACACACACACACACACACACACACACACACACACACTCCCACATGAGAGTGCTTAGCCTGGAGGCTCTCCGCTGCATTACTCGCTTCAGAGGCTAACAAAGCGCACAGCCATCTGGCCTTATCGGCCCATGTAGACGGAGCAGAGCAGGGAGCAGGACACACAGCACACTGTGCACCTGTATCACAGAGAGGACAGGATAAAAGCAAAGGATTTCAAAATGAATGGAAGGAACTGGCGTGAGAGAAGGGAGTGGACGAATTCTGCGTCTCTGGGATGGAGGCATGGATTCATTGACATCATTCAGGACCGAAACTAGTTTCCACTTAGTTTCAGGTTTTTTAAATGCCAAAACCAATATTTCCGTGCCACTGTGAATTGGACTCAAAGGGATGTATTACATTCCATTATTATCGGTTTAGTTGAATACTGAACTCTAATTGGTCAATTTGGACATTTATGTTTCTCGCTAACAGACCGTTGCTAAGGATAATGCGCAGTAAGCCGGTCATCACAGAGAAAGAAACCCTGACAGGGTTTAGGTTCAATCACCCTGCAGGGGTCAGAGAAAGGAGCTAAGTGGAGACAGACCCTCACAGCTTCAGGGCCGGTGCTTTTTATCCAAATGATGATAACTCTTTAGTGGGCTACATCCTTTAACAATGCATGAAATGACTAAAACACTGAATGCATAAAAAAAACATGCAGACCTCCAGCATCTTATCGTAGTTAAGTGTGCACGCTAAGCTGTGTTACGGCAGTTTCACATTTTAATATATCTGTTAATATAATTACAAAAAACAAAAACATAACTTTAGCATAGTCAAACTTTATCAATATATATGAAAAGGGTGGTGGTTATAAATGTTGTAAATGTATTATCTTTTCAATTTACACACAGCATCTATTGCACGTCTGTCCGTCCTGGGAGAGGGATCCCTCCTCTGTTGCTCTCCCTGAGGTTTCTCCCATGTTCCCCTTTAAACTGTGGGGTTTCTCTGGAAGTTTTTCCTTGTACGAAGTGAGGGTCTAAGGACAGAGGGTGTCGTATTGTCATACTGATATTCTGTACAAACTGTGAAGTCCACTGAGACAAATGTAACATTTGTGATATTGGGCTATATAAATAAACATTGATTGATTGATTGATGGTTACAACCTCATGGAAAATGCATGCTGCAGTCTACTTACTGCATGTGAACTATAAGGGGGGATGAAGGACGGTGTTTCACAACACACAGAGCAGTTTGATCCTCCATACTGTACATGATGCAGCTGAGCTCATTCAACCATATGCCACTCAGGGGACAGGACATACATTTTCATATACATGGTTTCTGCACATGATCCAGCTTCAATCACACTGTTACTGTCACATGAACTCCTGTGTCACATGCAGTTGTGGATTTGTAATAATGAGTGAATTGCTTACATAAATAAATGTCTACTGGCAAGCTCAACCATTGATTGATATACAAGTGATATAACTCGTGGCTACTTTTTTAGTAGAAGTCATTAACATAAATGTCCTTATTAATTGGTTACAGTTTATGTCATCTTTCAAATAAATAATGAATGTTTAATTCTCCGTAGATAGATTTCTGGCCAATAGGGGCAGAAGAACTCCAAAACAAGCTGACACACATACAGGCCTTATATGTTGCATCAACAGAGAAACTTTGGAATTCAGAAGGACGTTTTGTTTGAGTCTAAATCTTCACTGAAGACACACTTCTTCTCTCTGGCCTTCTAGTCAGAGCTGAGCATGATACCTGACATTTCCCTGTTTTTTGTCTTTATATTTCTGTTGTACATTTCTTGTCTTTTTTCTTTCATATGTTATTGTAGTGTGCTTTTATTACATGTACAGCACTTTGGCTCGACCAAAAATCGTTTTTAAATGTGCTTTATAAATAAAACTTGATTTGATTTGATTTGAGTGCATCTGTTATATCTCTCACAGGCTCCGCCCTCTACTGGACTCTATGGGTACTACCTTATCATGCAAGCATTCACCTACTGAGATTTCTATAGACGTAACCGGCCCCGGGGCGGGCCTACCTGAATGCGTGCACAAGCCCACCGTATATAAGGCGGCCACGCCTCCCGTTCCCGTCATCCTTTTCTCTTCAGCGAGCGAGCAACAACTGAAGCAGAGAAAGTAAGACGTTTGAAGAAGAAAGTTATCATACCTCCATGGCAACCCTGTCTCCTAAAAATTACGTTCCCACAGAACTAAACTGCATTCTCAATTACGTTTAGCTAGAAACGTATTTTCTCCCACGTTACGTTGGTTATGAACGTATCTCAAATACGTTTATTTTCTACATATCTTCTAGAAACATATTTTCTCCCACGTTATGTTTGTTATGAACTTATCTGAAATACGTTTATTTTCTACATATCTTCTAGAAACATATTTTCTCCCACGTTACGTTTGTTATGAACTTATCTCAAATACGTTTATTTTCTACATATCTTTGCCATTTATTGTCTTGCTTATAATAATGATAATAGTCATTTATAAATATCATTTTAGAGCACACATTTGAAATCGACGATCGGGCTCGATATACTATGGTTAAATTAAAATCAGTAGGCGAGGCTGTAATTTTGCCAGCTGCGAGGCAGAAAATAATAGTTTTAACATGCCAAAAAGCTGCTGTGTCGTTTATTGCACCTCAAACATTAAAATAAATCCAGAGTTACGTGTTTCTGTACTTCCTCTAAGAAGAAAGGACAGTATACAACAGAAGAGCTCTGTGGCTTCAGGCTTGATCGCCGTTCAAATGACAGCTGGTTTCCCCAAAAGTGGGTGGGGCTGTAAAGTGACGTAGGAAAGATCCTCAGCTCGCTGATTGGATGTTTTAGCCGCAATGCACGTCGGGATATGGTGTTAATGCGATATGAAATCCGAAAAAAAATCAGAGTTTAGGATGGCCGAAGACACTACACTACCCATAATCCCCAGCTATCGTTTGGGACTACAGTCCTGTTGACAAACCCTGTGATTAATCTTCAAGCTCTGGGATTGGATGTTGGAGTGGCAGTGCGCCAAGGTTACGCCGAGCGCCAAACAGCTCTTTGAAATGGAACGAAACCACGGCAGACTTTCCAAAACTGGACTCGAACGCCCCCCCAGAACTACACATGCTGGCTATTGTGTTTCGCAACATGTTCTATGGCACGTCTCTACTGGGAATTGTAGTTTTAAAAGACGTTTTCGTTTTTCCCAAAATTAGAAGTTGACAGTATTAAACTGTGTACAGCCCTGGAGGTTTAGGGGATAGGAAACAAATTGGTGTGTACACATGTAAAACATGTAATTAATAAATGGGTGAAAATCGCTTGTGTCCATAATGGGAAGCATTAATATATACCCACATGCCAGCTCATTGTTACTTTGTAATTCTACTCCACTAATATTCAGAGGTTAACCTGGTATTTTTACTCCACTACATTTATTTTAGTTACTTTGCAGATTCTGATTAATGATGTGAAATATAAACAACCACCTGTTAAGCACCGAGCCTGTTTTTCATGTTTCAGGCTCGAAAATGACATTCCCAAAACAAATGACTACAACTTAACTTCTAAAAGGGTTATATGAATAATTTCTTTTATCAAAGCAAGGTTACATCTGTGAGTTGGATGTAGAAGTGTCAGAATCAATATAAATGTTTTTTATTTTAAAGAAAATTCAGATTTTACATAGTAAAAAACTGTAAATTATAGTGTCCGTCCAAAAATTATTTTTTACAGATAGTGAAAACTACCCTTGGATGATGGGTTAGTAGACTAAAAGCTTTAGGAATCCAAAGTACAACATATAATAAGTACCCTGTATCAAGATTGATGCAAAACAAGTGAAATTTGACATTTTTAGAGAGATTTAGCCAAAAACCCCCACTTCTGGGGTCATTTGGGTGGATTTGACCTATCTCTGGCCCCCCTTACTCGATTGGGATCGTTGACACACCTTTCTGACCGTTAGAGCCAATAGAATCGAAGGGGGAGGCCCACTCACACACTCATTGTAAAGAGAAAAGGTGGGGGCTAGTGATGGGAATTCCGGCTCTTCTTGGTGAGCCGGATCATTTGGCTCGGCTCACCAAGAAGAGCCGGCTCTTTCGGCTCCC